TGTGTGTGTGTGTGTGTGTGTGTGTGTGTGTGTGTGTGTGTGTGTGTGTATGTGTTTGCGCATGCTTGCACGTGGGCATGCGCATGCATGCATGTGTGCATGCGTGTATGTATGCGTGTATGTATGCGTGTATGTATGCGTGTATGTATGCGTGTGTGTATGCCGGATTCATAGTTGTGCCGTGCAGCGTGTGTCTCCGTTATTACCTTCGTGCCACAAGGTGGCGACATGTGTACATCGGTGCGTCCATCACGCACAAGGCTTGTAAAAGCTGGGACCATCGCGGCGTTGCTAGCAGGAGTCTTCGCTCGGCCCTTGAACACCTCCTCACTTCGCCGCTTGATCGGCCCGCTCTTGCGCCACTCAGGGCAGCTTCAAGCGGCCGGTGGCGGCGGAGCACCTGATGTCGGGGCAGGAGTTCCCCAAGCCCCCCAAGATATCAGCATCGTGAGCTGCACTCCACTGCTCTGCTCCTTCCAGTTGCATTCAACATAAAATCGTTGTTTCCATGCAGCAGGGCAATGTTCGATGTCAGGGAGCATTGCGCTCGCCGTCTCCTGGTACTGCCAGGCTTGAGGTGGGAACCCCCGCGTAGGTGTCTCCCTGAGCCCCCTGCCCCGGCCTCTCCTGCAAACAACCCGCACCGTCCACCGCTCCGCAGCTTCATGCACTTTGTGTTCAGCGGTGCCGCCAAGGTGTTTGCCAGCAGCACGGACGTTTTCGTGCAGGGTGAGAGGAACGCACCGCGTGGCGCAAGGATTACCCCACGCGGGAGCGACAGGGCAGCCCGGCTGCGTGCTTGTTGTCTCCCTGTTGGTCCGACGCTGCGTATCTTCTGTGCGTATCTTATCATCGTATGCCTTGCCCTGCCATTCCCCTAGACCTTGGCTGCTTGCAGCCTGTTGAGAGTCTGGCGTGGCCCCACGCTCCCCTTGCCCAACGCTCGCAAGCCCCAAGCACCCATGCAGCCGCTGCCCCCCGACGAACCACGCGCATCCCGTCCCCCCGCTCCAGAGGGGGAGCCGATGCACTTCCGCTTTCCGGTGCTGGCCGCAGCGCAGCTGGTCAATGTGTCGCGCAGGGGCGAGGAGCCCGGCCTGCTCGACGCCACGGAGGACATGCGCCTGTGGTGTCCCGAGCTCGCATCGTCGCGCACTGGCGGCCCCGCGGCTGCCGACAAGCGGCGGCGGTTTTTCGACACGCCGGCAAACCTGGCGGGGCGTGTGCTGGGGCCCGAGTACGTGTGGACGCTGCACCTGCACCAGAGCCTGATTGACTTCAGCACGTACAAGCTGGGGCTGGCGGGGGTGCCGTTCTCCATCGACCTGGTGTCCCTGCTGGACGTGCAGCCGCTGCAGATCATGGCCAAGGACCACCAGGTGGGGAGGGATGTGTGTGTGTGTGTGTGGTTGTGTGTGGTTGTGTGTGTATGTGTGAATATGTGGGCGTGTGTTTGGGGGAATCAGTGGTTGTGAAGCGTGGGGAGTGGTGGTCGGACAGGGGTGTCTGGAGGGCGGTAGACGCGAGGGGCGGGGATGTGAGCGTGACTTTGCCAGGACAGCATGCTTTGGCTTTGGTGGGTTCACCTCACGCGGACAGGAAAGAGCTTGTATGTTTGGGGCCGGAGAGAGAGGACAGGGGCAGGCGACAGTCCCGGCCATTGCGTGCAAGCGCCTGCTGGGCCTTTGCGCACGCGGCTCTGCAGACTAGCAGTTTTCTGCCCCTCAAACCTCGCACGCACCCATGTCCCACCCTTACTCACACCCAGACCGGGGAGTACATATTCAACGTGCTGATGTGGAATGAGCGCCTGCTGTACACAGACAGCCCCTCACAGGGCGAGGAGCAGGCCAAGGGGGTGTCTGGCCGCCTGAAGGACAGGTTCAAGGGCCTGCTCTCAGGCTGGTAGAGGGACGCAAGCGGCAGGCGGGCGCCCATTGCCCCTCACGCACGCAGTGGGCCCGTGAACGGCCTTAATCAGCGCGGCTGTCAGGCGAACAGCCCATGCAGCCGGGCTCGCTGCGGCTGGCGCGGCGCGACGGCGCGCGGTAGAAACCAGCAGCATGCAGATGTGTATATGACAGGTCTCTTGCCAGACTACCAATAGATGGCCGCCCATGGGACCCATGTCACAGGCGCTGCTGCCTGTCATGCGGGTGTGCGACAGCGCTCAAACCACCAGGAATTAGGGTATATCGGGGCCACGAGTGCTGCGTCAGGCAGGCGGTGGCAGGTGGAGCCTCTCGCGGTTGTATGCCAGGCTGCAAGTCCCGCTGCTTGCGCTGCGGCAGCGCGACGGCCATGCTCATCCACCGCGTTGGCCAGCTGCTAGGAGCAGACTCCAGCTTCGGGAGCGGCACCCCCTCCCCGCAAAACGCACTGCATGACTTCCTTTGTCCAGGGGTTTTCCTCTTTCATCTAATCTTTGAAACAGCTGTCTAGACACACGAGTGCAAGATATAATACATTCCGCGCTGGCGTGCGGCGTCAGTGGTGCCCTGTTGGCGCGGGACGGTGTGGTGCGCGTGCTCATCTGCCAAACCCAGATGCCTGCTGCGTGCGCCTGCACACGGGACCTGATGGGGGCTCTGTCTTCTGACAGATGCGCGTATGATATTGTTTTCCGTTGCCACCCTGAAATCCCCCACACGTGTAGATCCCTGCCGCAAGGCGCGTGCTTTGAACACATTGCAGGCACAGGCGCAGTCCACTCCGGCCGTGTGTCGGCCGGACTGCACACCTGATGCCACTCAATGGCATTCAATGTGCGCTCCCTGCATCAGATGCCGCTGGAACGGCCCTGTTTATTGTATGATTGCATTCGCCCAGGCATTCGCGGCGCCAGAACTGGGGTTGCCCCCCGCTGCCCACCCTGACGCCTCGGCGATTGCACCAGGCTGTGGCTGGGTAACACTGTGCTTTTGAGTGCGATACCCAATGCATGCATGACATTTGCGATACATTACAGTTATATGCCAGGTTCAAGGCAGTCCAGGCGTCCTTTGGGAGGGGGTGAGAGTTGAGGCAGCAGGGGCGGTTGCTGTGCTGAGTGTCCCATTGGGTACCGGTAGCACTGCTTGCAGCCGCAGCGCCGCAAGATGCGACCTTTTGTTTCTTGGAACCTGTGTGCTTAAAGAAAGAATCCTTTCAGATATGAACGGCAACTTTAGAAGGATCAGGCGCGCAGGCGATCCACACAGCATGCGGCGGAAAAGTGCGGCGTTGCAGCCACCGGCGCCAGTCGCACTCACTCCTGGGACACAGCAGATGGATCCGCACGATCTGTGCAGAAATATCAAGGGCAATTTCTAGCTGTTGTATGGCTCTTCTCGTGTCGCAGCCGCGGCACAGGTGCGGGACCACAACTTCGCGGGCGGCTCAGGAAGAAACCCGCCCGTCCCCCTCCCTTACCCTGCATTAAGTGTTCGGACACAAACATCACATGGGAATGTGTTTTTGTCATCCCTCAGCTCCAACCCCCTCTCCCTCCGCACCCCTCGACGGGGCCATCACATCCTGCGCACTCATCTGCGCCTCTGCCAGCCGGACCCCTCCCCGGACACTTAAACAGATATATAAGGAGTAAAGGCGGAGAACTGGGCCTGGTAGCTCGCCCCTGGGACCAGCATCTTCCTGCGACCACCGCGGTCCCCCCGCGGCTTGTCCGCTTGTGCTGAGGAGCGCTAGCATGGAGAGCGCACCAGTTATGGACAGTGCCATAGCGCAGCAGCGCGCGGCCAGCGCGCCCGCACCCGCTGGCGACAAGCTGGCGCAACTGCCTGCGGCGCCCACCATCATCGCCGAAGCCTGCAGCGCCAGCGACTGCAGCAGCACCGCCGCGGACCAGCAGCTAGACCGCAGCGACGAGCACATCTCTGGGTATTACGACCTGGCGCCCAAGGAGGTGCACCCCTTCCACAGGCCCGCCATGCCGTCACAGGAAGCGATGCGGGCGTCCCCCCACCACCCCGTTGTGGTCACAGCCAACCCGATGGCCGGCGGCCAGGTGGGCGCGAATGCGCGCGTCTGCATGAGCATACAGGAAGATAGTGGGCGGTTCATGGGCTTGCGATCAGAAGAGGGGCAGCAGGCCCACGCGCAACGCGGTGTCGCGCTTAAGCGCCGGGCGGCGGAGCCTGCAGCGGCCGCGCCCCCGCTGCTTGAGCGCGCGCGCGCGGCGGTCCGCCAGGAGCGCCCCGCGCTCCTCGCGCCCCCTCCCCTCCACCCCTTCTGCCCGATCCCCCCTGCACACCACCCCTCCATTTCCCTCCTCCCCGCGCCCCCCCTTGTAACAGGTCCTGGATGGCGCGACCGACCCGAATGCCCACATGCCGGTCAACGGCCGCTCCTTCAGCGTTGAGACTGACATGTTCAGCGGCCGCGTGGAGATCCACCTCAAGGGCCTCAAGACCAGCAACAAGGAGATGTTTGCGGGCAAGAAGCGGTACTTCCAGATCGCCTGCCAGGTGGGGGGGCGCCCCGTCTACTGGTCGACGGGGGCAGGCCAGGCGCGGCAGGGCGCACGTGAAGCGGCTCTCCTCGCGCCAGCCGCGCGCGAAGCGAGGTATACGCTCAGCCGCGCCGCGCTCTTGTCGCATGCCGCCCGCTCCTAATCACGGGCACGCCAGCAAGCAGCGCGGCCCAGGCTCCTTGCCCATTCGATGCTGCTGGTCACCCCAGTAAACCAACCCGAGCCGCAACGAACCCTCAACCACGCCTCATCTTGCCCTCGAGTTCAAATTTTCCCCCAACCCCCCAACCCTTGCCCCGCAAAAGGGCAAGTTCAAGCGGGAGGTGGACGCGGACGCGATCTGCATGGGCCAGGAGTTTGTCAAGGCGGCCAACGTGTCGGCCTGGATCGCGGAGATGGTGCTCACGGGCGCGGCCAAGGTGTTCAGCAGCAGCGCGCACGTCGACATCTACGCGCGGCTGCCCTACTTCATGAACCCCGTGCTCGCGGCCTGCCAGGTGCGCCGCCCGCGCCGCGCCTGGCTCCCTCTGCGTTGCACGGAAGCCGTGCGGGCGTGTGCCAAGCGGAGCTTGGGTTGGGTTCATGATCATACGCCGGCGGGCACTGTGGCCTCGCAGCACGCCTGCACGCTCGCCGGGCTGCCTGAACGCACCCTATACAGTCAAGAAAGCGAGGCCCGGACAGCAGGAACTTGGTCCATTATAGGCACATGTCCCTTACGTAGCCCCCATCCTCCTGAACCGCGCCTCCTCGCCCCTTTTGACCCAATCCACACCGCCCACCAGCTGGTCAACGTGTCGCGCGACGAGGACGCCCCCGCAAACATCTGGGACGCTCAGGAGGACCTGCGCCTGTTCGCACCAGAGCTGGTGGACAAGCACGGCGCCCCCAGTAAGAGCCGCCCGCCCGCCTGCGCCGCTCCTGGGCCATGGCTTTGGCGCTTAACCGGTCAACCCAGCCGTGCAGACTGTCACTGCGCTGCCTGGTTGTGTGTGCAACAGAACTGCTGCCTCTCCTCATACCCTGGTTTACAGAAAGGAGGGCGGGGGCTGAGTCCTGGGCGCTACGCGGCACTGCGGATTGCAAGCCAAATTTCAGCTGCCGTGCTTCCAGCTGCATCTGGCCTGCTCCAACGCATGAGAGCCACTTGCCCCGCCCCCTCCGCCCCCGCAGCCGTGTCTGAGAAGCGGCGCAAGTGGTGCGACCACCCGGAAAACCTCAAGGGGCGCAAGTTCACGCCGGAGCACACCTACACCATCCACATCTGGCAGCACCTCATCGACTTTGCGAGCTACAAGCTTAACATCGGCGGCTTTGTCAACCTGGACCTCACGGCGGTGCTCAACGCGCAGCCCCTGCAGCTGACCTGCAAGGACATCAAGGTGTGCGCGCATGCGTGTGTGTGTGTGTGCGCGCGCGTGTGTGCGTGCGTGCGTGCGTGCGTGCGTGCGTGTGTGTGTGTGTGTGTGTGTGTGTGTGTGTGT